GCGCCAGTGCGCGGGCCGGGAGGGGCCGGGCCGGGCGGCTCCCCACCCCGGGGCCGGAGCAGCCGCGGCGAGCCCCATGGCACCGCCGGGGGAAAGGAGGGCCGCGCCCGGGCGGGGAGGCTTCGGGGCGGCGCGGAAATCCGGTAGGATCCGAAGTCTTGATGGCGCCCCGTGTTTACAGCCACCGAGCCCGGCTCCTCGCCGCCTCCGCGGGCGGCCCCCCGGAGCCGGGACCGGAAAGGGGCGGAGGGCGGGGAAGCCGCCCCCCTTCATCACTGCGGTGTCCCCCCTCGTCACTTCGGTGTCGTCGTCCCCACCCCCCACCCCGCTTCATCACTGCGGTGTCTTCCCCCTCCATGTTCGTCACTTCGGTGTCCCCCCCCCCTTCATCTCTTCGGCGCCCCTCCATGTTCATCACTGCGGTGTTCCCCCACCAAGTTCATCACTGCGGTGTCCTCCCCTCCATGTTCATCACTTCGGTACCCCCCCCATGTTCATCACTTCGGTGCCCCCCTCCGTGTTCATCACTTCGGTGTCCCCCGCTCGATGTTCATCACTTCGGTATCCCCTCGCAGGAAGAGGAGAGGGCGCGAGGCCCGGGGGCCGAAAGTTGGACGGCGGGCGGAGCCCCGCCGCCTTGACCTCACCCTCCCCTCCCCGGGGGCCCTGTTGGACCGCGCAGAGCCATCTCGCTCTGCATGGGCCGGTGTGCGCCCCGCGCGGGTCCGCTGCGCGTCTCAGCCTGGAGCCTGCGTCGGGCTCCCGCCACGACTCCCTGGTCCGGTGCGCCTGGCCCTGCTCGGGCCCGCTGTCTGCCAAATCTACGGCCGAGCTGAGGACGGGGCCCTTTTCACGGCGCGTCTGTCCTCCTCTGGCCGCACGGATGTTTTCTTTCTCTGGTGTCCCGTCGGTGGCAGGGACTACTGAGTGAGACCTTTTTATTAATCTGCATTCCGGGGAAGGGCAGTGCATGACAGATGACAGACGAAATAACTCATACTTTTGTGTGGACACGTTTTTCCGCCCCCGGACCATTTCACCGGCCAGACTGTTCTCCCCAAACATCTCCTGGATTTATCCCAGCTTTACTATTTAAAGTCCATGCTCTGGCTCACTCCCCTAACGTTTCCTTCGTGAACTTTTGCAGTTGGATCGCTTGCCCTATCCGTGTTGCACTTGTTGAATGGTCTTTTATCTCCGTTTTATGAGCGTGTTCCCAGGTATATTCTAGAATGCCTCTTTGCATCTCCAGTGGAGTAGTGTTGTACGTGCAGTTCAGAGTCCAAAAAGATGTTGTGAGTGAATGAACAGTAAGGTGGAACTGTGCTTTTGAACTGTGATGTTGGAGAAGACTCTTGAGAGTCCCTTGGGCTGCAAGGAGATTGAACCAGTCCATCCTAAAGGAGATCAGTTCTCCTTCATTGGAAGGTCTAGTGTTGAAGCTGAAACTCCAGTACTTTGGCCACCTGATGCAAGGAGCTGACTCATTTGAAAAGACTCTGATAATGGGAAAGATTGAGGGCAGGAGGAGAAGGGCATGACAGAGGATGAGATGGTTGGATGGCATCACCGACTCAATTTGGACAGGGGTTTGGTTAGACTCCAGCAGTTGGTGATGGACAGGGAGGCCTGGCGTGCTATGGTTCATGGAGTTGCAAAGAGTCGGACACAGCTGAACTGAACTGAAGAGGTGGAATGTCCACCTCCACCCCCATCAAGCCCTCTCTTGTTTATGTCTCAACCTATACTTTCTTGTCTCTATAGCTTTTCTCCATTCTATTCCTTAGCCTTATTCCTCTATACATCATAGATGGTCTAAGTCATTCAATAATAATATAAACACTTAAGTTTTCAACTCAGTATTCTACCACTGACAACTGACAACAGTAATTGTAATGTGAGATTTACAGAATCACCCTTTTCTTTACCTACCACTAAGCTCCATTCCCAAATGAGGAGAGAAATGTGGGGATAGAAAATAATCTATTAGGGTACTTTCCATTCTAGATGAGTTAGATAGGTGAATTCTCAGGAAAAATGAGACATTTGTAATGAAAATACACCTGTGGGCAGGAAGTGGGAGAAACTCTTTTAGAAGACTAAAACAATGTTATTTCCCAAAGAGGACAGGTAAAGTCATACTAATAGAAAATGAGTTCATGGAAGGTGAGGGTGTGGTCTTCAGAAGAAAATAACTAAGATGGCTTTTGTTTGCTTTTGGATAATTTGGAAGAAAACTAGCCACAGCCGTTGTTGTGAAAAGACCAGACTGGAGTTTAAGCACACAATAGCAAGAATTTAAAACAATTTGCCACAACAAAGCACAGTTTAGCTTTTCAAACAGCTTCCATAGAGAGTCTTGCTTTACATTTGCATAACTTAATGGCACATTCAGGCAGTCTTCTCAAAAGACTGATTCAGGTCTTCATCTTTTGCGTGCTAAAAAGAAAGCCACAGTATCCAAAGGATAGTTTCTCTTGGTTCAAGTTTACTCAGAATTCAGCCCTGTTGGGCTGGCAGCTCAAAGTTTGTCCCATTTCCACATTTCACTCTAGATATCCCTGCCTTTTCAGCTTTGTCTATTAACTACATTTTATGCAGAGTTCAGCTAAACCTCAAATTGGATGGTTGCTCTATCCTTGTTCCAACAGTTTTAGTCCATTTACATTTAATGTAATTACTGTGAAATGAGCCCAACTGTATGATAATTTGAACATCCTTTGGCATTGCTCTTCTTTGGAATTGGAAAGAAAACTGACCTTTTCCAGTCCTGTGGCCACTGCTGCATTCTCCAAATGTTCTAATACATTGAGTGCAGAACTTTAACAGCATCATCTTTCTGGAGTTTAAATAGCTCAGCTGGAATTCCATCACCTCCACTAACTTTGTTCATAATCATGCTTCCTAAGGCCCACTTGACTTCACACTCCAGGATGTCTGGCTCTAGGTGAGTGATCACAATCATTGTGGTCATCTGGGTCATTAGGACCTTTCTTGTATAGTTTTTCTGTGTAATCTTGCCACCTTTTCTTAATTCCTTCTGCTTCTGTTAGGTCCTTGATGTTTCTGTCCTTTATCATGCCCATCTTTGTATGAAATATTCCCTTGATGTCTCCAGTTTTCTTGAAGAGATCACTAGTCTTTCCCACTTTGTTGTTTTCCTCTATTTCTTTGCATTGTTCATTTAAGAAGGCTTCCTTGTCTCTCCTTGCTATTCTCTGGAACTCTGCACTCAGATGGGTGTATCTTTCCCTTTCTCCCTTCATGGATCACAGCCTGTTGGTGAAGGGGCTTGCATAACTCAATAAAGCTATGAGTCATGCTGAAGAGACCCATCCAAGACAGCCAGGTCACAGTGAAGAGTTCTGACAAAACAGTCCAGAACTGTTTACCAGAGCAGGAAATGGCAACCCACTCCCATATTCTTGTCTTGAGAACCCTATGAACTGTATGAAAAAGCAAAAAGATTGACTTATTACACTATACTATAAAGGATTATTTTTGCCACTTTCCTCCAAATGCTAAGAGCATAGAATAATATTGTTGTCCACTTAATCCTTCCCCTTTTGTGTTCACCGTTATCATGGGTTTTAATTGTGCACATATTTTAAACCACAGCTGAGATTGGGTTTTGGCAAGACTTGATCCCCTTCTGTTTTGCTGCAGCTCCTACAGAACAGCCTTCCAGGTGTTCCAACTGAGAGTCTGTGTTCCCTGGAGCCCACAGTGGTCACTGCAGACACTGAAATCTAATGCTGGTTTCCTCAAAGCCCTGAGATGGCAAAAACCTCCACTCTGCTTTCCCAGGGCTTAACCTTCTGGTTCAGCAAGTAAAGAATCCACCTGCAATGCAGGAGACCTGGGTTCGATCCCTGGGTCCAGAAGATCCCCTGAAGAAGGAAATGGCAACCCACTCCAGTATTCTTGCCTGGAGAATCCCATGGACAGAGGAGCCTGGCGGGCTACAGTCCACGGGGTCACAAAGAGTCGGACGACTGAGCAACCGAGGACACACAACCTTCTGTCTCAGGCATCTTCCGAAACTCGAGGGAGGACTTCCCTGCTGGCCCAGTGGTTAAGACTGCACGCTTCTTCATGTAGGGGGCCCATGTTCGATCCCTGATCAGGGAAGTTGCACATGCCACAAGGTACAACCAAGAAAATAAATAAAAATAAAGATCCATATATCTTTTAAAAAAGAGAAAGAGAGAGAAACTTGAGGGTAACCAGCAGAGACTTGGGCTCAGTTATTCACTTGTCCCTTTTCACTGGAAATCTGGCCCCTCTTGTGATTCTGTCTCTCCAGCCTTAATGA